GATAGGTGATAGAGAACATAAGGTAGCGGCCTATGCGGACGACTTATTGTTTTTCGTTGGAAACCCTCGTATTTCTCTACCAAACTTAATGAAAACACTGAAAGAGTATGGGGAAATATCAAACTTAAAAATTAATCCAACAAAATCAGAAATTTTAAATATAAATCTTAAAAATAGTGAAAAAGAAAAAAACAAGAAGAATTCCCCTTTGTGTGGAGAGAGAAAGAACTAAAGTACCTAGGGGTAAAATTGTCTGCCTCAACTAATAATATATGTATAAGATTAATTACATCTCACTTTTAAATGAGATAAAAGAGGAATTGAAGAGGTTGGGAACTGGAAATCCATCTTGGATGGGCCGTATAAATCTGATAAAAATGATAATTTTGCCCAAAGTCCTATACAAGTTTCAAATGATCCCAATTAAACTTCCAGAGGTTTTTTTTTAGGACACTAAGGAAAATGCTCTTGGGATATATATGGAGGAAAAAAAAAACCGAGGATATGCTATGAAACGCTGACTAGAATTAAAGAGAGAGGAGGCTTAGGGCTCCCAGATTTTAAGAGATATTATAAAGCGACCTTGATCGCGAGAATCTTTGACTGGACTCATAACCCGGGGAAAAGTTGGGTCAAAATTGAAAATATACTGAGCGGGTCCAATCTGAACAGAATTATATGGTTACCTACACCTCACCGTGGACTAGATGTTAACACAAGTACATACACTTCTATGGTTTTAAAAGTTTGGCAGATGTTACACAGACAAAGGGGTTGGGTTTTTAACTCACAGTTAATGCCACTTAAAAATACAGATTACTTTGCACCGGGGAAGGAAGATATCACGGGGAATTGGATTATTAAACAGGATGCGCAATTGAGAGATATAATGGTGGGGGAGGAATTAAGATCTTATAGAGAGATGGTGAAATTAAAGGGAGAGGTTTTTAGTAGAATGGACGAGGTTCGATACCACCAATTAAGACACTTTTTTGAGAGTCTCCCAAAACCGGGGAGAACAAAAAAGGATTGGAATCTATTTGAAAGTCTGTTGGACACACGGGGAGATGGGAGACATGGGGTTGCTAAAATATATAGAATCTTAACGGCACTAGACACTGACACAAAATTAATTTATATAGAGAAATGGGGAAAAGATATGGGGAGGGAGATCAGTGAGGAGCAACAGAGGAATATGCTTAGATTAATTCACGAAAATATTAGTATGAGAGAAGTGGAATTAAATTATAAGTGTTTAGTTAGATGGCACATTGCACCGAGTGTGGAGCACAAGATGAGTAGGGAGAACTCCCCATTATGTTGGAGAGGCTGTGGTGAAGTAGGTACACTATACCACATATGGTGGGAATGTTCAAAGATACAGGTGTTTTGGGGGAAAATCGTCCATTTAATGAGAAAAATTACTAAGATCGATGTTGGATTGGACCCAGAGTTATGCCTCCTTCATATATCTGAGCTCACAGTAAGATCATATAAGGACTCAGGGATTTGGCACTTTCTGAGTGCAGCTAAAAGCTTGATTCCTAAGTTCTGGAAAAAAAGGAGGTCCCGACGGAAGAAGATTGGTTGATTAGAACGAATCAGTTATGTGAGATGGAAAGACTTTATTATACACACATAGATGGGATGGAGATATATCATAAAAAGTGGGGAAAATGGGAAGTATTTAGACAAGAACTCTTGATGAACAATGATTTTTAGAAATGAGTCTTAGAAAAAAGGGGAAAAAAAAAAAAAAAAAAAAAAAGGACTGTGCTATATGTATATCTATTTTTTTTTCTCTCTCTTTTGGATTTGAAAAGAAACGGCAGAGTGGGATGGAGGGGGGAGGGGCCTTGGGAGGGATTTGGGTTGTGGGAATTAAATAAATTATGAGGAACATAATGATTATCTTATGAAGAAATGCTTGTTAATTATATCTGATTGAAACCTAATAAATATTTATAAATAAAATCAGAGGTGTCACTAGGTTGGTGTCACCCGATACGGTAATACGTGGTGTCGCCCCTCCAGAGAGAGACAGGAGCGGTGTCGGTGTAACGGTAAAATGAGTATCCCGACCCACGTAGATATGTATCCCCTGAAGGAACTGCGCATGTGACGGTTTCAGGTCGAAGAAGCCGATCTCTGACTTTAGCACAGAGCTGCCACAGTTAACCCCTTACAGGCTGCAAACCGCTGAAGCTGATCCCATGGATCCCTATGGGTTGCAAAATCAGGTAACCCCGTAAAGGTTCAACCTATACAGGGTTAACTGATCTTGCAACCCATAGTGATCCGCGGGATCAGCTTCAGCGGTGCGCAGCTTGTAAGGGGTTAACTGTGGCAGCTCTGTGCTAAAGTCGGAGATCGGCTTCTTCAGCCTGAAACCGGCACATGCGCAGTTGCTTCAGGGGATAAATATCTTCACGGGTCCGGGATACTAATTTTACTGCTACACCGGGGGGGGGGGGGGGGGGGGGCAGCTGTCACTGTGCCGGGAATCTGGGATCACCCCAATAACTGGCCAGGACCTTCACAGAGCCCAGAAGCTCTGCTGGCATCCTGCTCCTGCACCCTCTGTGATGGTGTCACCTGGCCCGCACCCCCCTAGGGACACCACTGATGTACATATTTTCATTGGTCCAAGTTGAATCAATGTAACCATGTAAAATTATAGCATGTCTGCAATTTATCAGTACAGTAGAAGTCAACTTTTATTGGACTTGTAAAAGATTCCCATCACCAGAACAAGTATATAGAATATAGTAGTGATATATAGAATTATTTTTTGTAACTAATATTGCCTCATTTGGGTAACGATATTATTTTGTTGCAAAGTAACAGGAAGAGGGAAAAAAAAAAAAAAAAAAATCATACTGACAGGTTTGTAGGAATCTTCTCTTGCCAGCTGCCCTGTGCTGCTCCTCTCTCCAGTCACTATGTCAGATGTAATTGGCAGCTAAGGCAGGAGTGCAGGAGAATTGCTCCAGATCACATCCTTAGCTACTTAAGGTCGGACCTATAGCAGTTTTACTGCTACAGGACAGCCCTCCTGTGCACAATCACGTATATACACACACACACACACACGTGATATAGCACTTCCGCCATAGCGGGCGCGCGTGCAAGCCGCAGGCGCATCGCTTCTGCTGTGAAACACTCATAACAGAAGCCGATCTGCGAGTGCCAGTGAATGGATGTCTGCCGGCACCTGCCGATCGCTGGGCAGGATACAGAACATAGCTCTGCCTTTGTAAACAAGTGCTCCAATTTTAGTAAATCTCCCCCAAAGTCTCTCTTAAAAAAAATAAAAAAACACTTGCCAGTTTCCCCTTAAAAGTGTTACTACACCGAGGGCACTGCATTCACTGTACCCGCTCTCCACGGACCCTGCTTCCACTATACCCTCCCCGGACCCTGCATTCACTATACCCGCTCTCCCCGGACCCTGCATTCACTATACCCGCTCTCCCCGGTCCCTGCATTCACTATACCCGCTCTCCCCGGACCCTGCATTTACTATATCCGCTCTCCCGGACCCTGCATTCACTATATCCGCTCTCCCCGGACCCTGCATTCACTATACCCGCTCTCCCCGGACCCTGCATTCACTATACCCGCTCTCCCCGGACCCTGCATTCACTATATCCGCTCTCCCCGGACCCTGCATTCACTCCCGCTCTCCCCGGACCCTGCATTCACTATACCCCGCTCTCCCCGGACCCTGCATTCACTATACCCGCTCTCCCCGGACCCTGCATTCACTATATACCCGCTTCACTATACTCCCCGGACCCTGCATTCACTATATCCGCTCTCCCCCCGGACCCTGCATTCACTATATCCGGTCTCCCCGGACCCTGCATTCACTATATCCGCTCTCCCCGGACCCTGCATTCACTATATCCGCTCTCCCCGGACCCTGCATTCACTATATCCGGTCTCCCCGGACCCTGCATTCACTATATCCGGTCTCCCCGGACCCTGCATTCACTATATCTGGTCTCCCCGGACCCTGCATTCACTATATCCGGTCTCCCCGGACCCTGCATTCACTATATCCGGTCTCCCAGGACCCTGCATTCACTATATCCGGTCTCCCTGGACCCTGCATTCACTATATCCGGTCTCCCCGGACCCTGCATTCACTATATCCGGTCTCCCTGGACCCTGCATTCACTATATCCGGTCTCCCTGGACCCTGCATTCACTATATCTGGTCTCCCACAGTCCACACAACATGGAAATGAAATTTTAGTAAATATAAACTGCTAAATACCTTTTCTCATCAGCAGTATATAGCAGTCTTGTGACTTCAGCTCAGCACTGGTTAAAGCTTGTAGAAGTTTTCTTTTTGCTCTAGGAGGATGTGAAACATCTGACCCTCTGTGTGGATAGTGCTGATTGGCCCTGTGCTGATCACATGCACCCTCCCAAGAAAAAAAAAAACCCTCTCTAGCAATACACACCAAACTGAGCAAGTGCATGTGACCCCTGATTCAGTCTGTATCAGGTGGTCATTTGAACAAGAGGAGGAGCAGAGAAGACAGGATCAAACCGCCTTTTTACACAATGCAGAGGATTAACCCCTTAGGTTCCACAGTGAGTATAACAAGCATGCTTTACTGCATCTACAGACTGATTGTACTGTTGTGGGTTTAGTAACACTTTAAACACTTCTATCAGCTTTCTGGAATCCTTGCCAAAAGCGTAACTACCAGGCCACTACCGTTCCATTCTTTTCTGCCACTCTTTCCACCTTAAAAAGGTGCAGATGTCAAAAACTTTATGTGTACGGATCAAAGCAAGTTTGCTTTCTGCTCCAGAATCAGACATCTGGCATCACAGGTAAAAGAAAGGTCTACAGAGGCAATGCAGTGCCAAGCATATAGATAAGCGTTTTATTTAAAATCTTTAGGGCACAATTATTGCGATCGCTTTTACCTGCTCAGCTGAAAATGGCATTGATTTTTTTGTCCCTTTATTACATCACTCACCATTTTCCTTACAAAGGACAAAAAGGAATTCTGCAGCGCAATGCTTTACATCCGTATCCACGTGTGTCATCAGACGGACCAACTTGTTGCGCAGCGTGTTCCCCACTTCTGGACGGTTCTTTACATCCCTCAGAGGAGGCAATACCTGCAAGAAAAAAAAAGATAAACACATTAATCAATTTATTTAAAAAAAAGAAAAAGGAGTACAGAACAGGATTAGCTTTCAAACAATTATACACATTGGCCAACGTACTGTATATCAGTGCTTCTCAATTATTTTCTGTCATGCCCCCCTAGGAAGAAAAAAAAACATTTCGCGCCTCCCCGCGCGACTGTAAATAGTATCATTTGTCTATAAAATTGTTATAAGTACACCTCTGCATAACACTGTATCCTTATTAACGTATAAGAGAATAAAAAAAGAAAGAAATGTGGATCAATTTACAACAAAGAATAGCTTTATTAACTGTAGCAGAAAAGATTTAAAGTGCATTAGAAATTCAAAAAAAAATTAAATGCTTAATTAAACTATAAACATTTTTTGATTGGACATGTCAAACCATATGATACTGAAAAAATACATAAAATCAATAAATAATAATGAATTCAAACCGATCACCAACATTTACTTAGGACCTAATCATTGGCGCCCCATCATTGGTGTCAGTGGGAGGAATAGCGCCCCATCATTGGTGTCAGTGGGAGGAATAGTGCCCCATCATTGGTATCAGTGGGAGGAATAGTGCCCCATCATTGGTGTCAGTGGGAGGAATAGTGCCCCATCATTGGTATCAGTGGGAGGAATAGTGTCCCAACATTGGTGTCAGTGGGAGGAATAGTGTCCCAACATTGGTGTCAGTGGGAGGAATAGTGCCCCAACATTGGTGTCAGTGGGAGGAATAGTGCCCCATCATTGGTATCAGTGGGAGGAATAGTGTCCCAACATTGGTGTCAGTGGGGGAATAGTGTCCCAACATTGGTGTCAGTGGGAGGAATAGTACCCTGTCAGTGGGGAGAGGAATAGTGCCCCATCGTTGGTGTCAGTGGGGGGGAGGATTAGTGCCCCATCATTTGTGTCAGTGGGAGGAATAGTGCCCCATCGTTGGTGTCAGTGGGAGGAATAGTGCCCCATCATTGGTGTCAGTGGGAGGAATAATGCCCCATCATTAGTATCAGTGACACCAATGATGCGGCACTATTCCTCCCACTGACACCAATGACACTTGCTGACCCCTGTTGCAGTATGGTGCTGCTGCAGCCAGCATATGTGGTTGCAGCAGCTCCTCTGCACTGCACACTTACCGTTTTTTCCCTCACTCGATTTTCGCGGGTCCGCTCGGCTCCGCCTCCTCGTCCGTGATTGGCCGCCTGTGTACCTTTCCTGAGCTACAGTTCTGGCGGCCAATCACTGGTGAGGAGGCGGAGCCGAGCGGCAGGAGTGAGGGAGTGGCCGGAGTGACGGAAGGAGCAGCGCTTCCTGGATGGATCATCGTTGGAGCCAGGTAAGAGAGAGCAGCCCTCTGCCCACCCCTGTACTTGGTGTCCCTTCTGTCGGAAGGGGGGGGGGGGGGGCGGCGATGCGCCCCCCTTGACGGAGGGGGGGCGCGCCCCACTATTTGAGAAGCACTGCTGTATATGAAAATTTAGAAGCACTTTAATCAATCCCCGCTAGAACTAGAATGCTTACTTTTGCACGAAGGAACTTCCGTGTCTCACGATGGACCCGTGAACTTTCAGTCAGGAGATTCAAGACAGGAGTCAGAGTCTCACGTAACTTGTGACCCTGCGGCAAAATAAATCCACATGAAAGATCGAATGATAATAATTAGCCATCCATACGAGAAGCAAACGTGAAACTAAATTCCAGATATTATCCAATATGGTACTATGCAGATTCCCCAATCAAAAGAGCCAAAGGAGTGGCAATAGGTTTTGCGAAAAATATCAGGTTTAATTTGGAAGACAGACTGGAAGATCCAGATGTTTTAGATGCTATGAGGTCCTCCCATGCCATCGGTTGAACGCTGTGGACCTGGAGGCGGTCTCATGTGCATTTTTGATACGCTTGTGCATGTCATGCGTTTGTGGGTATATCGCTTGTTTTGTTGGTTCAATAAAATGATGTTATGGTAATGTGTTAGGTCGGTGCACCATCTTTTGTGATCCCTAGCGTATTGCCTATACAGAATTCCATCTCCTTTCTGGTCTTTTTGTTCTTTTTGGACACTCACCCGATCCAACCTCCTGTCCAGGAACTGTATCAGGACCTCCACTGTGTCCATGTTCATTCCCATGTATTCCACAGAGCCATGCTCGACTTTAGGTGTCAGCAGAACATCCAGACACATGAGGGGCAGGTTCACCAGCAGGTTTACCGTGTGCCTGGACAAGGAGACAAGGAGTTGGTTTAATGAGCATTAAGTATGAGCACTGAAACCAACAACACAGCTCGGATTTTCTGTTGCTAAAACATTTGCTGCGTAGTAGCCAGCATTTTCAGAAGGTGGTTAGAAAAAGGAAAGTTTCATAGAAATATTTTATGGCGACAGGTTTAGATATAAAGCATCTTCTGCAGCACTCTACAGAAAATGCGAAGTCATTTACCTTGGTCCCTATTTTTGGAGATTACAGACCAAGATCTCTACCAATTTTTGGTGTTTTTTTTTTTAAATACATTTAAAAAATAAAAAAACTCTCATATATATATATATATATATATATATATATACATATATATATATATATATATATATATATATATATATATAAATAATATTTTTTACTTTCCACTATAAAAAACATATCAAAAAAAAAAAAAAATACATTTTGGCCATAATGTATTCTGCTACATATCTTTGGTATAAAAAAAAAAATCCCAATAATTGTATATTTTTTGGTTTGCAAGAAAGTTAGGGCTCGTTCACACTTGGCTGTTTTACCAACGCTTGCCAAACGCCCCTATAGCGTTTGGCAAGCGTTGGTCCGGCGTTTGCGGAGCGTTTTTTTTAACGCTCTGCAAATGCCGCATGCGCGGTTTAGCGGCGGTTGCTAGGCATTTGCCGAGTGTTAATAACGCCCCACAAACCCCTATAATGCAGTTTGAGTGGTGTTACCGCTCCGCAAACGCCCCGCAACCGCACAAGCCGGCCGGGCGTTTGCGGAGCGGCACCATAGACGAGAATAGGAGGCTTCAAAGCCTCCTGACTCGACCAGTGGCGTCCGTTTTGCCGCGACGCAAATGCTCCCGTTAGAACAGCACCATGTGCTGTAATGTGCAGAATTGGCAGAGACGTTTGGGAAGCGGTAAAAACGCTTCCCAAACGCATCTCTGCCGTCTGCACACAACGCTAGTGTGAACGTAGCCTTATAGCATCTACAAACTATGGTATATATACACTGGACTTAAAAAAAATAAAAATACTACTAATAGTAGTGATCAACGACTTATAATGGGACTGTGATAGGGCGGGCAGGAAATCTGGCACTAACTGATGCTGGGGGGGGGAACTAACTGCCATAGACATCACTAGCGACACCAATACAGTGATCTGTGATAATACTATCGCTGTACTAATGCAACTGGCTGGGAAGGGGTTAACTTCTAGGGCGATCAAGGGGTTCAATGTGTGCCTAAAAATGTGTGTGTTCTGCCTTTACTAACAGATGTCTTTGTTTCTTATTCCTGCTGGAGCAAAACATACACACAGCACACAGTTACCCCTTTGATCGCCCCAGATGTTAACCCCTTCCTGCCCAGTGCCATTAGTACAGTGTCAGTGCTTGTTATGAGCACGGAGCACTGGTCAGGAAGGGGGGTAAATCCTTTGGAGGGCAAGTGGTTAAAATGTCAGCTTTTATATATTCATGTAAAACCTTTATCCCATAAGCAGAAAAAAATAAAATTTGCTGCAACTGATTATAAAGTGTGAGCTGGATTTCTGCTTTAATCTGTTATTGTATTCAAATCTGCTAGTCCATCTAACACTCCTCTACCTCCAGACTGACAATGTTGTCCTCTGCTGTGTCCTGTGCTCATTCCGCTAGAGTTGTTTCTCACTAATATAGGAGGTGTGTTACTGGCCAGATCACCAGATGAAAATAGAGGAGAAAAAGTCAAAGGAAAAAAAAAAACAAAAAAAAAAAAAAAACGAATGCAGCCATCACATCTAATGATTGAAAAGCTGCAATATATGACATTTTTGGTTTTGGGTTTTATACTGTTTTAACATCATGTTGCCACGATGAAAGGCTTCTAGGAGGGTTGGCAAAACGGTGTGCATGAGGCCTTAAGGTATTGTACCGATGGAGCCGGCTTTAGAATCTTACCCGTGGAATTCTTCTGTTCTGTCTTCACATCACTCTGTCTGAGTAAGCAATGCCTAAGTATGGCCGCAAGATGGCGATACAGCGCTGCATCTTCCTGTAAGCAGAGGAAAAAAACAAAAAAAAAAGTTATATAAATCATTATAACAGCACTACAAACAGTATAAATATGAAATGGAGTTTTTTTTATTCCTTGTGACAAACGTTGAAAGTGAACTCCTCACAAATCACAAAAGAACGATCAAGTTTTTTTTAAAAAAAAAAAAAAGGAGGACTGATTGTTTATGTATGCTTCATTTCTCCGCTATACAGATGAACAATTATATCCACTTTCAGACCAGACCGATCCGGACACTTTTGTTTGTTTACAATGTAATAATCAGTAATTTTTGCAAAAAAAAGTTAGAACCCCCAAACATTTTATATATATATATATATATATATATATATATATATATATATTTATATTTATAGGCATGGCGATCGTTGCAATTTTATTTATCACAGCATTTGTGCAGTGGTTTTGAAGCGCAATTTTTTTGGGGAAAAAAAAATACACTTTATAATGATTTTTAATGCAAAAAAAAATAAAATATATATATATATATATGTATATATCCCAATTTATTGTCAAGATATAAAAGATGATGATACACCAAGTAAATAGAAACCCAACATGACACGCTTTAAAATTGTGCACGCTTGTGCAATTGCAACAAATTATGATACTTCAAAATCTATAGGAAAGTCTTAAAAAAAAAATTTCTACAGATTACCCATTGAGAGTTACAGAGGAGGTCTAGCGCTAGAACCTTTGCTCTCATTGCAATGTTCATGGGGATACTTCACGTGTGGTGTGAACATTGTTTACATATGCATGCAAGACTTGCGTATGCTTTCGCTTCAGCATGCAACCGCAGAGGGATGGGGGGCGCTTTAATTTTTTTTTTATTTTATTATTTTCACACTGTCCCTTTAACCTCCCTAGCGGTCTGATTATGTCCATATTTCTGTGCTCAAAGCGGTACATTTTTTTTTGCATGGAAATATGTTTTTTTTATTGTAGGCCTGTAATTTTTAGGAATAACTCACTGAAATCTGTCTGAACAAGAGTCTAGTAAACATCCCGGGTATGATAAAATTTGAAACGCGAAATCATAAATTATAATTTAATAAATAATCATAAAAACAATAATATAATAATAAATTTAATTCAATAATGAAATCAAACCATAAACACTGAAATTTGAAATAGAGCGCCAAGTTCGCACATCACTGAGCAAAGTCGCAAAATCGTTTTCAGTGTCTGATGATGAATTTCCCCCACGAATCATTATCACTCAATTCTGCAAGTGGTTCTGATTTACTATCGCTGTTCTCTAGCCGGTCTAAAACCGCTTTTGACCTAAAGGGACGCTTTTTGGACGCCATGGACGTTTCTCAGTTTCAAGGCAGAAAGAACAGTAAAAATGCAGGCAGGGCGCCGGACAAAGCACTCGGGACAAAATGTATGTGAAATGGTTTGATACAGGAATGTTATACTATGTGATTTTAGTGTATTTAGTGAAAGTCATTTTAAAAATTTTAATATTTCCCACCGTTCCGTCCCCCGTACGTCCCGACGCTCGCAGGGAACGGAACCTGGAAGACAGATGCCGGCATCGGCCGGAGGACATTGCCGGGGATACTGCAGGAGGGACATCGCGGGAGCGCAGGACAAGGTAAGTGAAGAACAGATCCTGGAGCAACGCTGCAGTGTATTGCCGAGTGTAGCTCGGGGGTTACCGCTTGTGGTGCTGAAACTTTATCCCGAGCTACACTCAGGAATACGGCAAGGGGGGTTAATTTTTTGATCACTTTTATTCCTAATACAAGGAATGCTCCTCTAGAAGCCCACTAGTTCTGGGTTTTTTTTGCAGCCAAAAAACATTGATTCCAGTCTATGTGTGTATGGACACAGGATAACATGCTGGGAGGTTTACTGGATGTAGAAAAGCCAAAAAAACAGAAAAAAAAAATGTCAAAAGCCAAAAACAGGAAAAAAAAAAAAAGAAGAAAAATGTCAAAAGTAAAAACGTCCAGTGTGCATGAGGACTTAATATGGCACGGAGCCAGAAAATAATCACTATTGACAAATTCAACCTAAAAAAAAAAAAATAAAAATACAAAAACAAAAAAGTTTGCCATCGACGTCAATGTGTTTGCGTTGGTTGGTGGCTCTGACTAAGAGCGTCAGCCGCTGTGACTAATCATTATGAAATGACGTCTTCTTTTGTTATGACAGCCAGCGGGCAGCAGAAAAATACGCTGCGAGAAAGACACAAGACGCCATCGAGTAATTACAGGCAATCTGTCCTTCGCTGGACGTTAGGCTGATGGAAAAAAACAAAACAAAACAAAATGATGCAACAAAGCAGAAACTTTTTTTCTTCTAAAAATGTGGTAAAGCAATCTTTAAACGAACGTATTTCATGACGCAGGGCCGAGGTTTGATTACCGGAAAGCCACAGCAACCAATCACGTTTTTAAATGACAGGTCAGATTATTGAAAGACAAGATTCCGATGTTTAACCATTTCCCAGTGGAAGTGCAGGGGTGGGTGGCCATTTATAAACGGCCTCACCGCTCCCTGGGAGCACGTAGCACAGCAATCCGGTGCCTGCTGTGTCCTCCGAACACAGTGGAACACCGATCGTCGGACGGGACCTCTGTGCGAAGTCCCGATCATGTGATCACTGATTGGCCAATCAGTGATCACATGCAGAGTAGTAAGCAAGATGTCACTTCTGACATCATTGCTTACTACGTGTGAAATTTGTGAATGATCACAGAGGTCACATGGTACAGGGCTATTCACATCAGCCTTGTACCATGTGACAAGCTGCGACCAATCACAGCTCACACAGTAGTTCTCAATGGCAAAAATGCAGCCAGAGAGAAGGAGAAATGATTGCTTTTACAGCCTTTATGGGTGTAAAAGCAATCAGTGTAAAAAAAAAAACAACAAAAAAAAAAAAAAAAAACAAATCTTCATCACCCCCCACAAGTAGTACAGTGTCACCATGGTGACTGTATTGCTAGGGTGACAGTATGTAAAAATAAATATAAAAAAATAAAATAAAAATGTAAAAACATTTTTTTTTTCAATTATAATTTTTGGTTATAAACTAATTTGGGTTATTTTTTTTTTTTTACTAAAAAGATAACGGAATAAATTTTGGCGAAGATTTCTGATGAAATATTATTTATTTGCAAAATTTTATAAGAAAAACACTTTTTCAAAATGTTTTGACTTTTTCATTTACATAGCAAAAAAAATAAAAAATCCCAGCGGTGAATAAATACCACCAAAATAAAGCTTTATCGGTCTCAAAAAAATGCTAAAAAATTCATATGGATACAGTGTTGCATGACCGCGCAATTGTCATTCAAAGTGTGATAGCGCTGGAAGGGGGTAAAAATGGCCTGGGCAGGAAGGGGGTAAAAGTGTCCGCACTGGAAGTGGTTAAGGGGGTTGCAAATATCGGTACTCCAAAATGAATATTCTGGACCAAAAATTCAGGATGCAGTTGTCCGAGAAACGGACATATTTCTTTATACATAATTGTATTATTTTCAACTTTTTAATCAAGATCATGAATTTAAAAAATACCATCCAGTAATGTGAATCAACGTTTTTTGAAAGTAACCCAAAAATTGGACAGAAAATAAAATAAAATGTATATAAAATTAAAATGGAGCTGGAACTCCGGCAGCTAATGCCGCCTCTCATTCTACTCCATGGACAAAGCGGAATTAAACCTAAACCCAAAAAACACAATCATTAGATGTGGTGGCTGCATTCATTTTTTTTTTAGGCTTTTTTCCCCCCCCCCCTCTGTTTTCACCTGGTGATCTGGCCAGTAACACACCTCCTATATTAGAGTGCCCCCACTCTGGATGAAGGAGAACAGGGGGCACATTTGGACAGCAGCGTTGTTGGTCTGAAGGGAGGGGTGTTCGATGCACTAGCAGATTTAGATACACTAACAGATTGAAGCTCACACTTCATGTCTCCACGCATACTAGCAGGTTTTTTTTAGCTGAAAAAACACTAGTATAAGTGTTTTTTTATTTTTTTGTAGCATTTTAGTAGTGTTCAGGCGCTTTCAGGCATTTTAGTGTTTTATTAGTGTTTTTACAGTACATGTAGAGGGATAAAAAAAAAAAAAAAAAAAAAAAAAGCTGTTAGGAGCATTTTAGTAGTATTTAGGGGTGTTTAGTATTTTTTTTCCTGCTGGAAAAACACTCCAAAAACTATTTTTTTCTGCTCCTAGATGCTGAAGCTCAAAAAATACGAACAGCCTAAAGCAGTGTGCATGGACACATAGGAGAACACTGTTTAGCTTCTAGGAGCTTAAAAAAATGCTAGTGTGCATGGCGCCCATAAGTGGTTACAGCAAACAATTTAGTCTCTTTCGGGATAAAAGTTTTACATACATACATAAATGCTGATCATTGTAAGCACCCCTGTCAGTGTTAAATGGTTTGTCTCAACCCCTCAACTGCAACATCTGCTGGACAGCTTGTTCTGTTGAAAAACAACAGACCTACTAGCCAGATTGCCAGGTGGAAATAAAGGAAACAAAGCCATCCCATGTAAGAACTGGTAAGCTGCAATTTACTAAAAGTCTGATTTTGGGTTTAGTACTGCTTTAACAACAAGCATTTAAGCCTTAGAAAGTTGAGGGTCCCACTGCAAGAGGTTTTATTTTTTGTGGAGCTCAGAGTTGGGCTTTAAGAATCGTATTGTGTAATGGGAGCCTCAAAAGTCTGTTTGATATTCTTATTTTCTCTATCTAAAAGTAAAAAAAAAAAAAAAGTAAACATTGTGACTAAAGATGAGCGAATCGAACTTGGCGAAGTGGAATTCGTTTCGAATATTAGGAAAAATTCGATTCGCACCGAATTTTAGCAAACTTCGGATGCACGAATCGAATTTTCCCCGATCAGCCGGCAAAAAGTGTCACTGCAGAGAGCTCCGCTATTTCTGACAGTTCTCTGACAGTTCATTTACAGCGGTTGAAACATTGTATCTATTTGTTTCCATTTAGGATA